TGTGTGTGTGTGTGTGTGTGTGCGTGCGTGTTTGGGTGTGTGTTTGGTGGGTGTGTGGGTGTGTTTGTGTGTGTGTGTGTGTGTGAGTGAGTGAGTGTGTGTGTGTGTGTGTGTGTGTCTGAGGGTGTGGGACAGTGTATGTGCGTGTAGTTATTTAATACTAGCTGGGCCCCCTTTCGAGTAAAGGAATGATGGGTGCATTAGCATCTACTAAAAATCATTTAATTGGCCTACTATATTTACACTCTATTGGAATGGAGCAATAAATATTGAGGAAAATTGACATATTATGTGTTTCTAAGGAGACAAATAAATAATAGGTGTATAATTTGATTCTCTATTCTGCTTTCGTGGTTGTACACTCCAGAATTTCAAAAGGTGCGCAAGGTGAGTGAACGGAAACCTCACTTGTTTACAATAGCGTCTTAGAAGACGGACTTTCCCAAGATTAGATCTAAACGAAACAAATGAAAAACTGAAAATTAAACTACAGTGAATTCAGGCTCCTCAATAAAACTGTGCACCCTTTAAATGATTCTGAGTCACCATTAATTTTGACAAATAAGGAAGTTAAGTGGTTCAGAAGTTTTAGGTGCCCATATGACGAACTTCCACAAATTATTATATACGAGCTGGGTACCCCGTTCAAAGAACGGACTCAAAAGAATCGATCGTCAAGTCATTGTGGAACCAGTATGCACCGTTTGTGAACGGAACCCTCACTTGTTTTCAATGGCGTCTAAGAAAACGAACTTTCCCAAGATTAGATCTAAACGAAACAAATGAAAAAACTGAAAATTAAACCGTAGTGACTTTAGACTCAATATTATAACTGTACACCCTTTACTTTAAACGATTTTGTACCACCGTTAATTTTCTCAAATTCGAAAGTTAAGTGGTTGGGAACTTTTAGGCGACCAAAGTGACGAACTTTCACAAATATAATATTTATATAGATTCTTGAAAAGTGCATGTTCTGTCATTTGCTTTCTCATTTATTATATTGAATAATAACCCAGCATAGTGCAACACTTAGGTTAGAGCCTGCTATGTAGGGATTAAAAGTTGCAAAAATTCACATTGCCATTATTATTATTATTATTATTATTA